GTCCATGGACATCACAGTTTCCTCCAATCCAATGGAGTATCAGACAGAGGATCTGAGGTCTGTAGATAGGAAAGTATCTTGTGTACTCAACATCCTGAAAAGCAATCTGCAGATGAAGGGAGCCACTGATTCAATTTGGGCAGAATTATGCACTGAGTTGAAGAAGGCGATTGTTTTGGTCATCGTGGTGCTTTGTTTGATGACTCCAGTGCCAGCTACAGTCCCGCCCTTTTCCATTTTTTTATTTACAATGAGCACTTCATTCACTCCAAACACTGAAGGCTAGCCAAAATCTGATGATCAGCTTGCTTCTTCATCTGAGGAGTCTGAGTGCTAAATCATCCCCTCTACGTTCCAAGGCCACATGACTGAATAAGTTTTGAATCTCATCTCCTTTTGATTTCAGTGGAATCTCATGTTTATGAATAGGGAGCCATTGCTGATGGCTGGTTCCACTGAGCGCCACATCTGCTCTAAGTCACACACTGAAATATTTGCCTTAAAAGTTCTCCCCAAGTGCTCCCTCTGGTTGGATGAGAGAGGTTTCTACGCCTTAAGTAAGTCAGAGGCCCCGACTTGTTCAGACTCCTACACAGCTCATCAATGAGATGAAACCTTCTCCTTAGTCATCTTTTCTTCCTTAAACAAAGAAATAGATCTTCTGAGATGTCTGGCTACACTCACAGATGAATTGGGGAGGTTTTATCTTAAAGCAAAGGAACTTCATAGACTATAGGAAATAATTACCACTATGGAAATACTTGTGTCCAGGAAGGCAGTTTAGATGCCTATACTCCCAAAGGTGGTATGCAATGGATTTTCTAGCAAGCACCATCTTGTATAGAGAGGCACATATACTATAAGTACATCCTTTTTCTGTGGATTATCTCTATGCTTATATATAAAAATATACATTTTTACATATAAAGTACTGGTGCATATCATATATATCACAACACATGAATATATATGTCGCCTATGTTTTTCCTTTAGGGGAAGAATTCAAGCTCTATAGCAGAGGAGACCAAGTCTAATTTGTCAAAGGCAAGCATGACAATGATCCCCAGTGGATGAGGCATCTAGAGCACTAGTGGTAATTACCCCAGCCTACTCAGTGTCCCACAAAAGTCCTGAGAGAAGGCCTTGAAGAGACAACACTGTTGTTAAGGTCTTATTTTCAAATGGAAAAATAAGACAGGGGTCAGAAGCTGGCTGGGGGCTGGGTATGGGTAGATGCACGGAGAATAGGTTCTGGTTCTCTCCAGGTCCAGGCTAGTCTGCGGACTGTGTTGGGCATGAGCGAGTCAGGGCATGATTATCACTGCTACATGCAACATGAATACCAAAAGTAAAATGAAAAACTGTACAGAAAATAAAAGAAGTATCTCATCTAGAGAAAGACAGGGGAACTAGACTCTGGGCTGTTAGGAACCCGTTTTACTCACAATAGATCACTACCAGTGTGCAGTTAAAATAGAGTAGGGGCCGTATTCCAAGGCAGCAAAGAGGAAAAAAAATAAATCAAAGATATGTCAATGATTAGAAGTCAAAGGAAATTTCTTCAAACACATAAATTTAGACATGACTTGTCCCTTAGGAGTCTATTCCTTGGCAAACTTTCAAAGGCTAGGAGGGAAAAGGTAAATCATTAGATCAGGTTTGTTACACAGAAAAAGAAAATGGATAAATGGTGGACTCTGAGAGTTTGAGACTCTGAGGCCAGACAGTTGAACTGAACGCGCTTCCTTGATGGAGTGCTATGAAGAAATGGAAAGAAATGCAGGAGTTAAACTATATCACCACAGAATTTCCAGAAATGGAATGTCCACACTCCACATTTCTCTAGATAATATGACGCCAGATTTGATCGTTATTGAAAGAAAGGGAATAGAGAGGAAGGGACAGGGCTAAAAGGGGAAGAGCTGGGGCGGGGGGAGAAAAGGGTTAGGACTCTGTGGAGGAATCTGTCAAGAGCTCTGCCCTCATGGAAATACACCATTCTAGGGTGAATCATCAATATCTGGACTAACAAGTTTAGACAAATGACTAGGAGGGTTAACCACCTTTTGTAGCTTGGAGAGGGAGCCAGGCGATCATGGGAACACCCTAGCTCTATAGGGAAAGCTTCTTTGCAACCTAACCTTATTTTTTTTCCAATTTCCTTGTTCATCTTGCCTACACGGGGAAGTGTATACTCAATAATTCATTTTATTCTAACTACCCCCTCCCCCTGTATACCGGCATCCTACTCTCTTGACTATGGCTTTTTAATTAGGAAACATAATAACATCTGGGAAGTTCTAATTATTATCAGACGTTAACCTCACAGCTGAGGGCCTGGTCATACTGGTGCGGCCTGGTAAAAGCAGCTCTTTTGTAGCAGCTGTTCTGGGCATGATGGAAGATCAGATACTTCACTAGCTCAACCGACTTTAAGGGCAATGAAGAGAATAAAACTATTTTAATGAATGATGTGCTCTTCTCCTAGGGTGAAGCTAAAGTTCATTGCTGTTTGTTTGTCTGAAATCAAGACAGGAAATACACCCTGAAGGTCAAAATTTTACTTGTAAGGACTTTAAAAATGGTCTAATGAGATCTTACAAAGGACATTCTAGCTTAATGTGAGAGTCAGAGATGGTTCTCTTCACTCTTCCACTTCCACTCTTCCTTCTTGGATCTGTTCTCTATGCAGATACCAAGGAAAACAGATGACGTCATTTCCTTGCTTGAAATTTTCGTCCAGCTTCCTATGTAGCATCAAACTTGATCTCAACTCATGTCACTCTATCCTTGATATCATCAACCCTTCTTGCCCTTCCTTCAAACTCTACAAACTGGTTTCTGTCTTTGGTCTTTTCTTTGCTCTTCTCCCGACCTAGACTGGGTCTCAGCTTCAGCATCACTGCCCAGTGGAGGCCTTTATGACCTTGCAAGCATGGCTTTTTCTGAATATATTCTATTGTTTACATGATGAAGGTTTGCCTTCATTCACTAGAATGAAGTGTTCAGGAGTGCAAGGACTTTATCTCATTCATCCCTCCATCCCAGGCACCTTGCAGAAAAAGGACACTCCAAAAATATGAGTGGCTACTCAACTAGTGTACTGTATTTGTGCCAATTTATTGATGTTCCAGTGGGAAAAGGTCCTTTGGAAAATATCCTTTCATTGATTACGGACCTCAGTACTCCTACCTTTTCCACCTTCCTCACTACAAGAGCTTCCTTATGAAAGCCTTCACCCTCCTATGAAAGCCTGTATTTGTTTCTCTCTTGCTTACTTTTCAAACAGGATGTCCTGTTCCTTCTAATGGAAATGAAGGAGATGCATGGTCCACAGCCAACTGATCAGGGCCAGGTTGAGGGTGTTGTGAGTCAAGGGGTCTGGAGAGATGAGATGGGGGATGAGTTTTCCCTCAGATGCTCTTCCTGGCAGGTTGTCAGAATTGGGGAATTTTTAAGGTCCCAGGAAGTTAGTCTCTTGTTCTGAGATAGTGAATACTCATCCTGGAAGGGTGACAGAGTTGGGGAAGGGGCCATGGAGGTTAAATCAGTGGGGAAGGAGGGGGCAAAACAGGGAGCCGTGTGGGAGCCAGCCCGAGAGATTTTTACAGAAACATCTCTAGACCAACAGTAACTCATGGGTACTTGCCCAAGAGACTGAGTAACCTTTCTGGGCTCCGGCAGTGCTGTCTTTTAGCTTACTGGTTTCGCACATGCCCCTTCAGCCTGCAGTGACAAAGGTCCTTGCTTTAGTCGGCATATGGCAGTACTAGTATCCCCCTGTCTGTTTTCTGCTTGTGAAAAGTATTTTCATAGCTATGTTCCTACTCATCAGACACAAATTCATCCACATCTACCTTCCCTTCTGCAACAAAAAGGTGAGGACACTCAGAGGAGGCCATCCTGAGGGACCTTTGGGGACCTCAACCCCTGTATATGAGACAACAGACTCTCAGCCATATCATCTTCCCACTAATTTAGAACTTCATTGTCTCTTTTTGGAAAACAGGATTGATAACAGCCCCTGCCAATACCAGTTATGATAAGCCTCAAATCCACCATAACAAGGAACCATTCAAACCCAAATCACCATAACAAGGAAGAAGTCACTATTTTTGTTTTCTCTAAGGTTGAGAACAATGTCTCTCAGGCAATGCAGTATAATTACTGCAAAAGGTATGGCCTTCCCCAGGCAGACAACACCTTAAGTGCTGGTGTCTGTGGAGCTCACAAGTCAGTGTTCCTGATTCTCCATTGAGGCCCGTGGGCACAATGGTTTAGAAGAGGCCTGAACCTGGATATATAAGAAAGGACCAGGGCCGGGGATTTAGCTCAGCGGTTCGGTGGCCTGCCTTGCAAGCACAAGGACCCAAGTTCAATCCCCGGTACCAAAAAAAAAAAGAAAGGAAGAAAGGACCAAACCCAATCCAATTCACCCCAAAGAGAAATGTGCCTGAATTGCCCTTGGGACAATTGTTACTGAAGCCCTTGGTGAGTGAGGGCCATGTTCTTTTCTTGGAGTGGTCTTAGGGGATCACAATTAAAAACCCTGACCTTTTGTTACCAAAGTTTATAGGAATCTCAGATGAAAAGTGGGTCAGTCTCATTTTAGAGACTGGGTCCCCAGGCTCAATTTCCCTCTTAGCCCTCAAACAGTCATCTTCATACTTGGTGACTTCCTGTCCATCGGAAATCATACAAAACCACTTCCTCTTCTATGGCCTCTTCTTTGTACATCACACTCGGTTATATCAGACTGGGCACATAAGGAAGGAGGATAGTTTCCAGCTTCCCTCCTAGGTGCTGATTTTATAGCCTCTGCTCTAACAAAGCCAGTGTGGTATTTATTTCATGTCTCTTTAAACTTCTCGGTGGAACATAAACATATTCAAGAAAACTCTTGTTGTTTCATGTTTCTCTACAGGAAGAGGGGCAGGAAAGGGAACTTGGGGATTAGGAAGGACAGTGGGAAGGGAGGGGGGGAAAGAAACACTACTTACGCCGTTTGCAGCCGCATTTTTTAATTCTTTTGGGATCTGTGATGTCATCATGACAGGCCTTGCAGTAAAAAAATGCCCTGGAGAAAGAGAATGGAAAAACTGACACGTTTCATAATCCACCCATGTGAAATGAGTACCATATTTCCTCGGCGGTGGTGCCAAATTAATGAAACATGCCAGCACTAATTTCCTTTAATCTTTTGAAAGGTTTAGACATTTGCAGACGGAAATGTTTGTTGCAAGACCATTTATTTCAAACACAGGATTCTGTGATTTGAGTTAGTGCTTCTTTTCATAAACTCCCATTTCCAAAGGCACAGGGAGAGAGGTTACAGATGTGACACACTGAGTCTGCTCGCTCATCTTTCATTTCTGAGAGCAGCATCAGATGCTAGTGGTTGTAACAATGTAGAGTCGACCCCAAGCCTTTCAGGAGAGAAGGGGAGCTAAACGCAACTCCAAAAGCCCCATAATCTGGCAAAATAAATATTAGAAAGTGTGACATTTCTCAGTCAAGTGCAAATACTAACCTTGTGGCCTTGAAAGTACCTCTCCTTATCAGTCGAAGTGAGAGGCAGTTTAAGAGGACAGTGGGGAGGGAATAACAAAAGCACAGAGCTCTGGTCACTCTGTCACACCCTCTCTGGGATTGCACAGCCGGCAGGACCCTGTCCTGTGATCCTCCAGCCTGAGAATAAGGGTCAGTGAAGGCTTGCTTCTCAGAGCAGAGCAAAACTCGGCTGACCACTGGGATGGGATGAGCAGAGGGTTGGGGTAGGAAGAGGAGTCCCAGAAGAAGCAATCAACAAGAAAATCCCCCTAATCTGATTCAAGTCTCAGTATGGGGATTACAGAGCTCATTAGTTGTGTGGAAAAAATTTCGGATGAGACAAAATAAGATCATTGAAGCAGTGTTGAAAATTTCAATGTTAATACAGTGTAGATGCTTAGCCTACTTAGGATGGTACAAAAGCATGCCCAAATGGTTATTCTCTTGGTCACTTCTGGTGAAACATTCATCTCATATTAGAGATATTCAACTTTTTTAAAAAAATAGGATTTGTGTGAGATGCCCTTGCCCAAATGTAGACTAATGTTAAGTTTTGTGAGTACAGGTAAGGTAGGGAGCCTAGGTAATCAATGATGCTCAGTAGGTTATGGGCGTTTAATGCAATGTTGAGCTGCAATATTTCCAACTTATATGACTTTACTGGGATGCAGCTCCATCGTAATTAATCCGTACTGGGAGGTAACATACCCAACATGAAATTGAATGCCCGGGATAAATGTGGTCTTTTCTTGATTGGGGCTAAAGAAATAAACACAATTGTTGATCACTTGATTCCTAGGTTCCTTTTCATGCCTTTCACAAGCCTTGTATTTATGATTGACATGAGTTCAAAGCCAATGTTAATATTTTTGGATCTGGAAGAGATTGTGGAGATCTTGCATCCAACTCTCTGGGACTCAATGCCACCATCTATAAATTGAGGAGGTTGTCATGTTCTGTCTATAGTCACCCCTTGATGGAGCTTGGCTGGCCCTGGGCCTTCAATATCCAAGTCTAATGTTCTTTCTACCTGAGCAGCTCTTCTACCACTTCTTTAAATGCCAGCTGTCATCTACACTGCGAGAAAAGTAAAGGCGGATGACCCTTTGCCCCCTGTGGCACTGTGGTTAGGAACCCAATGGATAGTAATCTGCCTCAAAACAGGAAGGACAGGACAAGAGAAAGCTTCCCAGTTGGGGCAAGTAACTTTGCATCCCTTTCCTTTAGCTATCTTCCCACCTGATTTGATGCTCCTACAAAAAATGGTAGCAACAGAAAAAGCTAGAATTTACAAGGCACAGACAGATGCCATTCTAAGCATTTTATGGGCATTAATATATTTGACCCTCAAACACCCTTTAAAGGTTATATGATTGTTATTTCTGTTTTCCAGATAAGGAAACTGAGGCACAGAGAGATTAAGTGACCTGCCCACAGCATCATGGCTAAGAGTGGCAGAGCCAAAATTGAAATCCACACAGCCAGGCACCAGAGCCCAACATTTTAAACATCCCGCACTGAAAGAGGTGATGGGTGATCATGAGTCTGAACAGACTGTTGAAAAGATAACGTATGATTACTTCATGAATGAATCAAAGCTGGATTCTCTTTTCAAATTTGTTATATTTAATTGACAAAAATTTCATACATTTGTAAATGTCCAACATGGCTAAATCAAGCTAATTAATATATGTATCATATATATATATATATATATATGTTTTTGCCATATTTTATGGTGGAAACTCTTAAAATCTACTGACTTAGAGATGTTAAAATATATAATAGATTGTTATGAACTATAATCTCCAGGATGGCAGATGGATTGCTTAAATTACTCCTGGGTAACTGAAATTTTGTGTCCTTTGACCAGTATCTCTCATGTGTCCCCTACTTCTAGGCCAGACCTTGGTAACCACCACTCTACTCTCTGCTTTTACGAGTGTGACTTTCTAGATTCTACCTATAAACAGCAGTGCACAGCAACTGCCTTTCTGTGCCTGTCTTCTTAAGCTTAACATCAGATTTTCCAGGGCCAGACAAGTCAGCTAATGAGTAAAATGCGATGATTTCCAGAGGTATCTGTCATGACCTCAAGACACATCCCCCAACTGGAGGAGCATGATGTCTTCAGGGTCTCCTTGTCCTCTGGATTCTTTTGGGTTGGGCTAATGGCAGAAGCCAGCAAGAGACTGGAGGTAGGGAGAGATGATCTCCCTCCTGCCAGGTCATGGAATAGTAATGGCAACATTTATCTCACGAAGGATGAAGCTCCCATGGGGCAGCCAGAAGCTGAGATGCCTTCCCTCTGCGGCTGCTTCTGTGGTGCTTTGCCACCTCTTGTTGGTTTTCCTGAACTTGTTACCCATAACTTTATATAGCTCTTTATAGAACTCTCCTCCTTGCTCCACTGAATGCATCATCTGCTACTTGCCAGGACCCCCCACTGATACAGTAGCATCTGCAGCATCCACATTGGCATTTCCAGCCCTAAACCTCCTCCAGAATGCCAGGCTTTCAGATCTGCCCACCTTTACGCTAACTCCATGTATAATCCATGTACATCTACCCAACACAACCCCGGTAGATGTCCTTATTTCCTACCACTGCATGCATGCACCTTTTCTCTAGCTTTCCCACTCAGTGAGATGGAGCCATTATCCACCCAACTGCTTAAACCCTTAAGCATCATTCACTTTTCTTCCCTCCTTTCTTCCGTCCCATTCATCAGTGGCTCCCAGAGGTCCTCCGAGTACAGTCTGAATGGGGTCCATAACCCTCCATCTCCATAAGCGGCCATCATCTCTCACCTCAGTGATGTCCCAGTTTCTGAGTCTCTTACCTCCTCTCCTGCTCCATTATCTCTGTTACCTTCCATTCTCTGCAATGCGGGCAGCATAACCGTGTAATATAAATCAGACCACATCTCCACAGCTTAAAAACACCCATGACTTCCAAGTCGTAACAAATCCAACCTCTTGTTAACAATGTTAGAAGGATCAGCCTCTACCTTTCTCTGTTCTCAACTCCATACCACCACTCTCCCTCACCTATTCTCAGGACCACGCCTTCCCATTTGGATTCCCTGAACACAGTTGACTTCTTCCCGTCACAGCTCTTCTTCCTGCCTGATCTTTGTGCGATGAATTCTTTCCATATTTCTCTCTCTGCCCCAGTGCTGCCCACTCCAACCAGGATTCACGTACAGAAAGCCCACATCAGGGATTCAGTCGCATTCATTCTTTCACCATAAATTTTTAAAACCTGTAATTCTCCCATCCCTAGAACCTAAGCCTCAGGAGAGCAGGGATTTTTCTCTATTGTTTCCCTGACACCGTGTATAGAGTCTGCTAAACATGAACTGATTTTTGATGAATGGATGAATGAGTATGAGAATGTTTCCCAGTATTGGGTCTGCCAATGTTTCAGGAGAAACCAGTAATGAGGATTTTTTTATATACATGCAGATGACTCATTTCAATTTGACAACTAATTTATTTTTAAAATTGTGATTCCAAAAGAAAATCATATCGGCAAACCAGAGCCAATGAACCCATTAGACTATGTTCCAAGATTATTTCAAAAGGAAAACATTTAGTGCCAAGAATAAAGAGCAAGTGCCTAAATGCCCATCCCAAAATGATTTTTTGAAGACTGAAACTGGATAGCTTCACTCCTCTTTCTCTAAAGGCCCTGCATCTTTAAAGTTTCTATGAGCTACAACTTATGAACTTCTCTTGTTATTGGATTTTTGTTTTTTTAGTGAAGGGTGCAAACTCAACACTATATCATCATCATCTGCTTTTGCATTTTTACAAAACTTGTTTAGCTTTGTTCCAATCTCCCGTGTCCTTTCTGTGGCTTTCCACAGTCTTCATCTATTTGAAATCCGCTAACTGACAGCATTTGCTCTGATACATCACACACCATAGAAAATTACAGGCTGGTGTTGTAGCTGATTGTGTCAGCATGTATTTGTGAACACCATAAAGCACTGAAATGAGACACACTGAACTCCCTAATATAGGAGGTAATTTGTTTTCTGGACTACCTGGTATTTTTGACATTCATTAGTGAGCAATGCCGTAGGAAATGGAATTACACAAATGGGAGCCTCACGTGATGGCTGGTATCTGGGAGGTGCATGTCACATGTGGGGCCCCTGAGCTCCCAGCCTCCTGAGCCTCAGCAAGACGCTGCTTCCAGCTTTTGTGTCCCCCCTCTGGATCAGAACACCACCTTCTTTGCCAGATGACCTCAAGAGGGGGTTAAGTCTCATTCTCCTCCCTCTCCCTTCCTCTGTGAACGTCATTCTTCAAAAACTGCCGAAGAATATGAAGAACAAGATTCCACCACTGGGTAGGGAGGTATTGCTCTACCACAGCTGAACAATGGCACTCCTTCCACAATTTGCAGAACATATAAATTATTAGAAGGCTGTTTTTTTTAAATGTTATCTACTTCATATGTTCTTTTTCCTGAAAACATTGGTAACTAGGATGACATTTGTTGCAGTGGGTGGGAAGAAGGAAACTCATAAGCACCTACTGTCAGATATCAGCATTCTGTGTATAGCAGGTCAAACTCACCCCTTGTTAAAAGTTAAAAGAGTAAATAGGAGAAAATGAAAAAATGGAAATAAAGTGTTTGTAAACAGGGAGGGGAGGAGGGGGTGAAGGGAGGGCAGGAACAAGGGGAAAAAATGAGAACCAAGACCTGTCATGTAAAGGTACAAGATCCCAATAATGAATGTAACTACTGTATACCTAAAATGTACCAATAAACTCAATTTTAAAAAAGTTAAAAGAGTGAGTTGAAAGAGTTCAGGCTCTGGAGCCAGACCACTTGAATTTAAATTCTGGCTTTATTACTAGCAGTGTGACTTTGGGCAAGCAACCTGTGCCTCAGTTTTCTCATATGTAAAGTGGGAAGGCCTAATGCTTCCTAGTTCAGAGCAAGTTCACAAATACAGAGGAGCTAGTTAGTACCCAGAAAAATGCCAGCCAAATGTGAGCCCTCCGGAAAGCCATGTTGGTACCATCACATTTGATAGAAAGAGACGGGGGTTCAGAGAAAAAGAGACCAGTTCTGATCTGGGCTCTGCCACTTGTTTAATTGCCCCCATGGTTTCGACAAAGCATTTATCTCAATTTTAAAGATGAAGAAACCAAAGCCTTGAGTGTTTTACATGATTTAACCTTCTAGGGCTATTCTGAGGAGTAGCATACCTCACACAAGTCTAGCTTTGAGCAGAAACCATTAAATGAAGACAGTAGGCTCCCATAAATAACTACAGACCTCTGCATAATTTACTGAAATAGTTGATGTAACATTATTGTTGAGCTAGGTGACCAGTATGGCCTTTGGCATCATATTTTTATTAGCAAATTTTTCCAAGTTAAGAGAATAGAATCAAACATAACAATGCTCCATGTTGTTGTACAAAAGCCTGCTCATTTCCCTAAGCTACTTAAACGAGAAGAGGGACACTAAGAAAAATGTCATGAAATACAGGGGCCAATGAAATCCTGGGCTGTACCTACAGAGACTTCATAATTGAAGTGGACAGTTTCAGCCACATACCTAGAAAGTTTCAGCCACATACAAATAACATATAGTCAATTTAGTGTTCATCTGAAGTTAATCTGAAATGTTTGAAATTTCCTTGGGTAATTAGAGTGAAAAACTGATCACTGTCAAGGAAGTTTGTCCAGCTAATACTGAGAACGCTCTACAAACAGCCAGTTGTCCTGTTAGGTTGGTCTGGGTCCAAAAAAATAAGGATTAGCTGAAACAGTCACTGCAGCTCTTTGAGCCTCAGTTTCCTCCATTATATGAAGAAGGAGTAGGTAATGAGGCTTCTGCATTCTAAAATTTTATTATTCTAATTAAAAGAGTGTGAAAACCATGTGAAAAGTAGTCTGTGGAAACATTTAAAAGCACAATCTCTTTTTCCTAATCCTTTGCACCATTTGATGCCCACTGATACATTAGATGATACAGTAGATTAATATGTCTATGGCTGTGCCAGAAAAGAAGGCGGATGAAAACAAACTCTTACCTTTTAACTTCTTTGGCATCACTTGCGATGAAAAATCCTAAAGTACCTTCTTGGATCTTAAGATGGTTTCCAGGATTAATTAATATACTGCTCAGTGAACAAAAACAAACAGAAAAGACACAAGTGAGGTCATGTTCTGAATAAATCTTTGAAGGCAACATCATATGATTGTTTTTATAGGGGCCCCACTAGCCTAATGCTTTCCCCCAAAGATTTCTCTAAAGCCTGACATTCTCTGGCCCACACATTTAGCTGGACAATGCCACCATTAAGCTCTACTGGTTAATTCCCAGGCTGGTACACTCCCAGTTAAGGAAATCAAAGTAAACCTCAGTTCTAGGGGTCGGTTTGCATAATAGGCCATGCAGCTGCCATCATGGACATTTGACTTGGCGTAAACTTCCTCAAAATATATCTCTTTTGAGATTTGAGACAACTAGTGATGGTCAACATTGAAATATTATTGGTCTAATGAAGGTCTTGCTACACCAGTTTTCCATTGGATGACAGAGTATTAATGGGACCCCTATATGTATTCAGAAGCAAACATATATACATACTACATATTACTGTGGGGAATGGTACAAGACACCCATGCAGAAGCAAAATGAACATGTTTGTAACATTAAAAAAAACATGGAAATAGATTCCATGTATAGTCCACACAGGAGGAATTGGATCTATCCAAACATCAGAAAAGAAAAACACCAGCCGTTGGATATACTTAATGATTCCAGTCTGGTATTCATAGAAATGTATGGGGTGTTTGAACAGAATCCATGTCCTAACTGAGGCAAACTGCAGTTAGAAAACAAAATTACTGCCCCCCTAAAAATCTTCCCCACAGGGAAGTATGAACCTAAATATACACTGTCCTATTTCAAAGTGGTATAAATAGATTAGCTGACCAAGCTGTGTTTGGACTGACAGTAAAGATAAATGTATCCTAATTCAATAAATGGACGAAACAAACAAGTTTAATTTCTGTGGATCAAAAGCAGAATATAGGAATGTCTTATCCAGAGGCTGAGATGAGGTTTTGGGCTTAATAGATACTGAATTTAGGCATTCTGAGTGAAGCAACAGACAACAGAAGTATTCTTTGATCTGAGGAGCTGGTGATTAAGGTAATGGATATTTGGAATCAGTCTAAAGGAAGTCCTCAACTGCCCCAAACAATCAAAATAGAGGGTGGTGATTAACATGTAATCCTTTTCTGCTGGTTAAGTCCATTCCAGAAAAGTGCAGTGACCAAGATTGGTGAGTCTGCAGCAAGACAGGAAGGACCCAGGTGAACTTTTGTTCTGTTGAAGAACTCTGCAGATCATTACTGCAAAAATGGTTTATGGCTACAAGAGCACCCACCATTACCCATAACAAGACTTGACAGAAAAAAGCACCCCTGTATCATCATCACTGTCATTAACACTAAATAACAGCAAGAATCCGAAGATTTGAGTGTTCTGCCAGAACTACAGGCCACAATGAGATTCACTCCGAATCTGAAAGCGGCAGACCACACTAATAGCACAGCTTGCAGTGGGCAATGTATACCTAGGTTCCTCCTAATTACGCTCTGCCAATTTTTACTTTGGTATCACAAGCCCTCTGATTTAGGAGAAAGGGTGAAAGCTTAGGCAGTTCAAATAGATTTTTCAAAGTCAATTAAATACAACATTTTAGAAATTGCCTATTCTAAAAGTTCTGGATTTTGCACATTTTCCTAACTTCTTCCCCTGCAAGGCCAATCTTATATTCTCTAACATCGATCAGAACTGAGTCCTAATTCTAGTCTTAAGGAATTAACTGACTTTAGGAAAACTGCTATGCTTCTTTAGAAATCACTATTCTTCCCTATAAGAGGTTAATAATAATAATAATATTCCTTCTGAGAACTGAAATATTGAGAAAGTCGCAATGCATGCTTGTTATTATTGTTACTTTTATTATTTTATTCTTGCAATAAATGGCCAAGTGTATTTCAGTTTCAATGGAGTTACCAGAAATTTTCTTCAGCTGGCTCCATGGAATGGAGCATAGGGGTCCTGATCAAAATACCCAGCCCCATAATAAGATGAAGTTACAGGGTTAAACACTACAGGATCATTCATCAGGACATCTATGAAAAATGTAGGGGCCTAGGAGGACTAGATGCTAAAAGCTGGAAAGCCTATACTTTGATATGTATTCCCATAAAAATGAAAGGAAATCTTCTGGGTGAAAAAAAAATCCTATCATGATTTTAACATTGGAATTCAAAAGAAAAAAACATCTGGGTGACATCTATGCACGACACGAGTGTCACGCAGACCACTCATTCCTCTTCCCATTTGCATGCCTCATTGATCGTACCCCAGTAACGGAGCCCACCACGTCACAGAAATACAGTGTGGTGAGGTTCCTATCAGTCAGAAGTTTCCTTTCATGGTCTCTGTTCTTTATCTATAGCGAGCGAGAATTAATCCACGGGGAGAACTTGAGATTGGCATTCTCTAGAGCGTACAGGTTACGATAATTTATGACAGTCTTCAAGTTTCTTGTAGTCAAGTTAGTGTGATGGGAAGGAAAGACTTTGGGTGTGGATACAGGGCTCTTTGGTGTTCACATCTCAGGTTCACCACCCACCTGGGTTAAGCATAGGTGAGGTCTCAGTAATAAAGGGGTGAGCTTTGGGCATGGGGTGCCTCGTTTGCCTTGGCAATAAAATGGGGCAAATAATCCCTAGTTCAGTCTGTTAGAGAATTAAAGAATGCCCCATGTGTTGAGGGACTGGCACATATTATGTCCATAGTCTATGGGTGCTATTAAGATTGAGCAAGGTGATTATAAAATTAAATGAGAGCAAATAAACTCTCCCTGTGCCATGTCTCTGCTGTACATTTTATCCTTGGTTCTAATGACATCCCTAGATGGTACCCTGCTGTCATGCAAAGGCCTTTTTCCTGGCTGCAGCATCCAAAAGATTTTATCTCTGAGCCACATCTGGAGACTGGGATGGACTAATTCATAGTAGCTTCTGGCTTCACGAGGAGTAGCACCCGTCTGTTACATCTCATGACTGATCCGTAAGGAACTGAAAGCACCTGAAATGGCCTCACAGATTATGCAGTTCCAACACGCCTTCAATGTCCCTGTGGACAGGGTAAAGAGGGTTTAAATCACCTGTATGTGTGGTGTGAGGCACCATTTGTAGATACCATGGTACAGTAAGGCCGCTTTCTGGGTGCAGTTCAACAGAATGAGTCAGCCCTTGAGAAGCGAATGAATGAAATCTAGATACATGAAGGTGTTCATTCTGCTGGATTCTGGATTCGGCTCCCATACTTAGGGGTTTGATAAAGAAGCACGTGTGCCTGACTCTAGGAAGCCATGGCATCCACCATGCCCTGGGTGAGCCTCCCGAGTTTCAAAGGCTCTTTGAGGAAAACTATTACTGTTTTTGATAATTCAGATAACAAGTCTTCTATCCATATTTCCAATCTAGAATTTAAAGCGTTAATCTTCCTTTCCTTAAAAATACAAAAAAGGGTTCTAGCCAAAAGCAATACTTTTTCTCGCAAAGTGACTACTACCCTTAGAAGTTGTTACTGCCTTTCCAATGGGAATACGTAAATTCTCTCCGATCTTCTGTCTCCTTAGCAGAATATTCGGTGCTCAATGTGCTTTGCTCCTATGACTGCCAAATGTCACCCTCCCTTTTCATTCTTTCGCATCAGTTCTCTGGCTCTGACTCTGCCTACTTCACCAGCTTTATCGAAGACACACTTCAAGACGTAGCATGTGAGGAATCAAGAAAGTCTCAAAGAAAATAAGCCCATATATCCATTAGCGGAATTCTAAGAAGGACATCTTTTTGGCAGGGGTGGACATTCTCTCATTTCACGGAACATATAAATTATCTTTTTTTCTATGACCTCGTTGATTTCAATGGAAAACTCCCAGTGAGAGCTGGCAGCACAGGGCTGATGTGGGCGCTTCTTCAAAGATACTTGCTTTGGCTTTTTCTTCTGCTCCCAGACTGCCTATCTAGACTTATTCTCCGTCTATTCACTCACTGTTAGAACAATGCACATTTACTATAAGGAACCCACAGGTGAGTAGAGGAGTGAAAACAATACAGTGGTATCTTGGTTCACAAACTTCATTCTTTCCCCAATTCTGGTCACAAACTGAATTGGATGAGAAGCAAATCAAATTTCCCCATAAGGTCAACACTGAACCTAACCACTGAATTTGATTTGATTCCCATCCAATTCAGTTTGCGACCGGAACTGTGGAAAGAATTAAGGTGATGAACCAAGGTACCATTGTATCATGTTCTATTTACTTTTGTCTTTTTCACAGTCGTAAACTTAGAGCCCAACATGCAATAGGTAGTTTTGAACTCTCTTTTGAATAGATGGAAAGCACAAGTCATCGGTTTCTGTTCTGAAAATTTTCCTCTTATAAGGAGGACAAAGGCAGTCACCACCACTGTTCTTTTAAAATCCAACCTATGTGGGGCTGGGGATTTGGCTCAGTGGCACTGAACCTGCCTTGCAAGCACAAGGTCCTGAATTCAATCCCTGGTACAAAAAACAAAACAAAACAAACCCCAAGCTATTGGTCTCATCAGTCAGGCTGATGGAATGACCACATCTCTTCTAGTAGGTTAGCCACTAAGCTCACAATCTCTCAGAGACACTAAGAATAAATATGAAAATATGCATATATGTATATACAGCAAAGCATTTGGGAAGGTGGAGCAATTGATTTCAACTTGAAAGTACAGCTCACTTGGGACTGAAATATGTGTTTCGAAACATAAAACCTATCCACATAAAATGGGAGAGCAGGGCTCAACCCCAAAGGGAACCATCCATTTGGGGCCCCTTTGAGAGGTATTAAATAAGCTGCGCTGCATTTTCTGGGCAGCTCCTGCCGAACTCTGTTCAGGCTGAAGGACCAGGACATGGTTAAGGAGAAATTTTTTTTTCCTTCTCCCAACTCTCATATATAACCACTGGGAAACATTTAGCTATCCCTTTTTCAATCATCATAAAGCTTACTTATCTATTGTTTGGGGAAACAATCTTGGTAATTCAACTGAAATAGATGTTTTAAAGGAAACGTTTATCTACTCCAGACAAAATGACAGGTGTGCATTTCTCTCCTCCTCCTTTCATGTTTGGTAAGTGTCATGTACCATTCTCCAAGCAGTTAAGGAAAAATCACGACTCATAGGTGACTATAGTTTATACTCAAAAGCATGGTAATTACAGTTGTGTCTAGCAGGCTAATGGGACTTCATTAACTAGAGCAAACAAGTGAGAACCATCCAGGACTTCAGTTCACGCAATGTCCAGATGTATCACAACAGTGGGAAGAGGCCCCTCTGATCACACAGGTTCACACACAATTGCTCTCTGTTGGAACTATGTTTGAACCAATTTCCAGAGAATACATCTGTACTGCAGTTTGTGGGCTGTGTTAGGGCACAGCTCAGGGAAACTCCAAATCTCAAACCTTATCACCTTGCCGGAACTTTTCATTTCTTCTGGGCTTTAAAATATGTGCTGCTGGAGTCCCACACAACTACACATGCACACTTTTACTTCAAGATACATGTAGGGGACCCAGTTGTGTGTTCCATGTTGAGTATACATCAACCCAGTTCACTGGCACAGAGACAGGGTAATAGAGGTTGCTCCCAGCTGGTTAGATTCAATGACCACCAACTGTGGTCTACCAGTCATATTACCAAGGATTTGTTTAGCCTGAATACATCTCACTAATTTTAGAAATGGAATTTTAAGATATATTTTACACATAGGGAAAATATTAGCCACTTGGAATGGGAAAGAAAGAACTGATCTAGGAAAGATAACACCAGATATCTGTTTCTGGGAGCAAGCCATATCACTTTCCAGTACACTTCAGGACAAGTCATGCCTACATTACAACATGCCTTCACCACAAGATAAAAGACTCAAAGGCCAAAAGCCAACAGCAGAGGTGCAACCACTGCGGACCTTTGAAGATGCAAAGTGTTGCAGTAACTTCTCGCAGTTGGATCATGTCAATAATACCAAACTGACAGGAAGCCACCTCTATTTATACACATCTACTCCAAAAAAATCACAGAGGATCTGATATTGGAAGGAGTTACAGACAAATACACACACACACAAATACACACAATTACAAACGCATGACAGTGATCACAACCACTTGAAAAGGTGACAGAAGTATATTTTCAACAATACTGTTTTAGAAAACACACTGCTGAAAAACTGCTGGAAATTTTAATTAAAAAGTTTTTAAAGTCATTGATGATGAATTAATCATGCTTCATGCAACATAAAACAGCAGCAAAGCTGAGTGAAGTCACATGGTGAAAATTGCAGTACTTTATATTATGAAATATGCCCAAACACACTAAGAGGGAAAAACCATGAGTTCATCCCAATAAACAGTATTCATCCAGGAAATCAGGTGTGATGATCTGGCAATTTAACAGCAGTGTTCTGAGTCTCTACTGAGCACTGCTCAAAACAATAAATATTCAAAATGAGGTAACCAAAGTAAGTATGAGGAGAAACAGAATTATAAGGGCTTGGTCTCTGTTTTGTGGATAAAGGACAGAAACTCTGCTTTACAAAGTGGAAACTGGACACAGGGAGGAGGAGGTCACTGGGAATGTGGATGTGAGATGTAGACAAAATGGCACTCGTGTCTGGTGAACACCAAGACACATTAGGACAATACATGAACAGACACGAAGGGCTACAGAGAAGCATCCCGCTTTTCAGCTTTAATAGTATTCCCATCACTGGTGCCATGATTAAAAACAGGGTTATGCCTTTCCTTTTTTTTAGGTTTCCTGCAAAGAAGTTAGTGCGTCATCCAAAAGAACCAACAAATCAAACAAGGACAGCAATAGGCTAATTTCAGTTTTATGTAATCTAGTTGGAGAGGGGATATA